TCCAAGCCTCGCTCCTTACCGCCAAAAATGCTAAGTGTCAACCACCCGACCCGAGACACTGACCTATCAAGATCAGAAACAGAGTTGCCACTCGTCCCTCAGTATCGGTCTACCTACCCAGAGCAGTTTAACCTAAACCTTGGTCGACCCTCCCGGTCAACCGACCCGACTCTAGATTCTAACCTTCCTTGGCTCGCCCTAGGTGACCGACCCAGCCAATCCCTAATCAAGGTATTCCCTTGCTCGCCCTGGGTGACCGACCCAGCCATTCCCTGATCAAGGTATCCACTCGTTCGCCCTAGGCAACCGATTGGTCCCCAAGGTTAACCTAATTCTACTCACCCCTTCTCACCGATCAAGCAACTCAATCACCCGCTCGGTCTGGACGACCGACCGACTCTACACTCCACTCCACTCACCTTTCCTCACTTGGTTGGACGGACTGGACGACCTAACCCCCTACAACTCCAAGACGGCACCCTGTTCGGTCAAGCAGACCGACCGAACGAACTTACATCTAACTCGACTTTGCCTTCCAAAATTCCGTCCAAAACATCCGAAGAAGGCCCAAAAAATTAGTCAAGACGCCGGAAACCCACCGGAAATACCAAAATTCATGCCTATTCCAGAAATCTATACTCTGAACTCCTCAAAAATCCGTCAAAACTACCCGAGAGCTCAAGAACTTCAATCTATCTTCCAAAAACACAACAAAATCTACCAAAATAGACAAAGAAACGCAGAAACATCACGAAAACGAAATATTTACCATGAAAGGAGCCAAAGTCTACCGAAAGAAGCTACCGTCGCGAAAATGAGACCAAAAACGCAGAAGAAAAAATCTTTTTTCTGAACAAAAACGGAGGAAAACTGCAAATGGGAGACGAACGACCTGTTCACTTATTTTTAAAAGAAAAACTGACAGGTTGAAACACTTGGCAGCCCATGATTGGCTATGGGTCAAAGCGCCTTTTTGTTTTCCCGCCTCAAAAACGAGGATCTGATCCTCGCCGAACACGTGGCAAACATCCATATCGCCTGGGAAACCGTAACGACAAGGAAGCTTGAATCGATCGCCCAGATCTGTCTACCGAGTCAACACACCCCGGTCAGTGGACTCTACATACCCTCACGAATCACATGTTCAGGAGGCCTCCCCGACTGATCGATCGACTGGGGACGATCCAGCCAGAGCCCTCGCCCAGTTGTCCTTCCGCGGCGGACGAGTGGACAACCAATGTCAGAGCTCGCATACAACATCCACTTGGTCGCACACTCCTCCTGACCGACTTAGCATTCGACTCTTAAAGGCCCTCAAAATGTCTTATGCTTCTTTGGCCTAGAGGGCCCGGCCGACCAACCGATCAGCTTGGAACGGCCCGTTTCGAGCCATCTTCAGAACAAAGAGGCCTCGCCCGTTCGTCCTTCCGTAGCGGATGAATGAACAACTTTTGGTCGAAGTACTATCTCGTCCACTCGAATCGCCCACGCATACCGACCGAGCGAACATTTTGAGATTAATAACTTTTCTACCTCACTTGACCAGGCATGCCGAGCGATCGGGCATGCCGAGCGATCGGGCGTACCGAACGAAGCGCCTACGCTCCGAAGCCTACATCTCTGACCCTTCAGTCCTTCATAGCGATCGGGCACAGCACTCTAATGATGGTATACTCTGGATCGGCAATGGATACCGAACGACCCCAGAACAAAAATCACTTGCAGGATCAGCTACACTAATAACCGGTCATCCCGAAAGAATGATCGAGCGCTCATCGATGGCTTCCTACTCTCTGACTTAAGAAACTCTTAACTCAGAGAGTGGAGGGCAAACTGTTAGGGCCAAAAATCGTCCTTGGCCCAAATAGGCAAACGGGCCCGACACTGAAAGAGAAGCTAGGCCCAATCCCGATATGACCCAACCGGATTAGGCCCATTCGATACAAGATATAGCCGGCCCAAACCACGTGGGCACAAGCCTCCTAATCCCAGTCCATTTCCTAGGTCCATGGGCGAATCCAGAGCCCACGACTCCCTCATAATACTTTCCTACTCCTGATTAATCTCCCATTCAAGGTCACCTTCCTATTCCTGATCACTTTCCAACTCGGAGTCACTTTCCTTATCAGAATCACTTTCCTATCCAGACACTGGTAAGACAGTTTACCACGACCCTAATTCTGCTAGGGTTTGCATCAGAGTCATGCTAGGACTCCTACTTCTACCAGGATTGGGAGACCAGACNTTCTATTTGATTTAGAACCCTTAACCCTATTCTCCTACCTAAAAATGGATAACAAGTTAGTAACTTCCGTGACTGTGCTGCGGCACAATAGCAACTGTAAAAAGTGTGCCGCAGCACAGTAGCTGCTACCCTTTTTCCCGCATCACTCCTCTGTTCTTAAAAGATGTTGATTTTTGAACACGATAACGATGGAATTTGGAAAAGTGGTAAACATATTAAATGTAGACCTTTGAATCCTCTTTCCGAAGGTCCAAGAATCGTCTTAATCTGAGTTCTACAGATCAAGATATTCTCAAAATACTAAGGTATGCGCAAGCTGAAACGTAATCTAGAATCTTCTCTTTACTTCAACTTCCATAACTTCTTCAATTCAACTCCGATTCTTGATCCGTTTGTTTCCACTCATCACTCATTCCGTTGCCAACATGATTATTCATCCGAGCATAACATTTAAGCACTAGTGACCTGAAAAACACTCTAAAACACGTGATCCCGTAAAAGGTAATTATGAAAATATTAAGCAACTTTACCAAATTAAGCCTAATTTCCCACAATTAATCCCCCAAAAACCACTAACTAGATGTGTATTTTCAAGCTCTTATCATACATGTTATAAATAAATAATAATCTTTTGTTGTTATATTAATCATGCAGTCTCTCTTCTATTATTATTATAATCTACATAATTCTCTCTAGGTGTTTTGGGTAATGGATAATTATATTAATTGTTTAAGCTGTAAATATGCAGCAAGACCCAACAGCAAGCTGTACAGTTCCTAAACACTTATAGGAGTAAGATTTAATTATAAATTTGTGTTATCTATGAAACTAGTTAATTAGAGATTAATTTGTAGATCACTTCATGTTTCATAAAGTATCTCTGCTCAGTCGTGGCTTGAGCTCATGAATGTGTGTTGGCGAGGAAGAGGTTTTCTGTCTATACTTTATGACACACCATAATCATAGAAAAAGAAATTGCAAAATCGGCTGAAAATTCTCAAGTGGATATTAATTTTTTATACAGGATTATGAATATGAAGGCAAATTGAGTACAAGATTTCTTACTTCTTAGTAACTTACAAAGATAAAGTTTATCTTAAAGATTGTTTCTTCTTTGTTTTCACTTAAAACTTTAAATATTTAGCTAGACTCATACATCAGTTAATTCTTTCTTTCTCCTTTTTACTTTCTCCTGTCATTTAGGATGAAGTTTTCACTACAGTACACAGTATCAATTTGTAGTAACACAAATGTCAACAGACTAAGTTTGGAAACCACAAAAATTAATGAAAAGAATAATCAACAGTTCGGTAACTGCATGCTATTTTTTCAACAAAGTTTTGTGAGATTATTCACCATAGACTGAATCCATGAATATGATAATGCTACTCTTTATTCCTTGTAAAGCTTCAAACGAGATTAGGATAGATGAAGATAAGGTTTTCCTTGTGGCATTCATGATATACTCTTCAAAAAGTGAAAGATACAAAAGGGAAAAAAAATCATGCTTTCTAATTAATTAGATATCTTCTTGATCTTTCTTTGAGTATAGCCTTTCAGGCATTCTTGATCATAAATTTGGAAGCCTATATGGGACCTTTTAAAAATTTGTTTCAATTTATTCATAGATATCCATGTTCTATATCTCATTTATGTAAGGAAGAACTGACATGACACATGCTTTACCTAGAACATTTGATAGGAATAAATAACCCATCTTCAAAGAATATCCTGCCATTTGCATTTACAGATGACCTTGCCTTTTCGATTCACACATAAAGAATATTGTTTTTCCAATCTCAAAAACATAAATATGCTAATGACTTTTGACACATATCAGACTACCCTACAAGACAAATTATGTCTTTGCAGCCTTCTGAAAACTCTTGACAATGCAAAATCTTATCCCCTTCTTCATCTGTCTGATAGATTGATGACAGGAGAGGAAAGGAAGATTATTGTCTTCTCGATCTCTGGTTAGGTAAAATTTAATTCATCTTAGTTGAATATTGGTTACACTAATATTTAAAAGCTACCACATCAACTAAAATGAGTTGATTGAGTTAATTGATTTCATATTTATTATAACCAGAATTATATTTTTAAAAATAAAAAATGAAAAATTAGAACCTGATCAAATAGCAAGCTAGGATTATCACCAAAAAAAAAAAAAAANTTTGCACCGGATAGGTTGATTGCTTGATAGCATGTAATCTATTTTCGTTTCTGTTTTACTTCAGAAAACACTGTTAGAGGACACTGGACAAATATAAAATGACATGTAGTATAGCTGTAGTTTAATTTGTAAATAAGCTGCTACTTTATTTTCTTTTCCTTTATATTTCTTTACTTTATAGATGGCATTCATTGATTTGTATATACGGTTAGTTTGTTACATTTGTTAGCTGTATATAGCACAGCCTTGGGCTACTGTACTCATTTATCCAGAAAGGGGAATAACAGTACTTCATCTTCTCCATCGCTCTTGGCCTCTCTACTCTGTTTTCATTCTTCTTGCTGCATTTTCCTTTTGTTACATGGTATCAGAGCGCCTTGAGAGGAATCATCGACGAAAAACTTTGGCCTTTCAACCCCTCCAGATTCGCCCAAATCCCTAAGCCTAAACACCTCTAATCCATACCTTAACCTTGCCGATCCCACCAATCCTTTCCGGCTTGACCACGGCGACAGTCCTGCCGTCACTTTGGTTCCCGATTTAGTCACCACCGATAACTATCCCACCTGGTCTAGAGCCATGCGCCGAGCCCTTCGAGCCAAGAATAAACTTGGTTTTATTTCCGGTGCTCTTGTCAAACCTACTTTCCCCGCCGATCCTTTACTCGATTTGTGGGAGAGATGCAACGACATGGTGGTTTCTTGGCTTCAAAATTCCATCACCCCTTCCCTCAAATCCAGCGTGGTGTTTGTTGATAATGCTGCTGATATTTGGCAAGATCTCCAGGACCGTTTCTCTCAACAAAATGGTCCTCGGATTTTCCAGTTGAAGAAGGCGTTGGCTGGTCTTCTTCAAGAACACGATCCGGTTAGTGTTTACTACGGTAAGCTAAAGTCCATTTGGGATGAACTTTCCATTTATGATCCTTTACCAATTTGTACTTGTGGCATCTCAAAAACCTTCACGGATTGACACCAGAAGGACTCTGTCCTTCAATTTCTGATGGGGTTGAACGATTCCTATTCCCCCATCAGAGATCAAATAATGTTGATGGATCCCATTCCTCCGGTCACTAAGGTGTTTTCTCTAATTCAACAACAAGAGAAACACCATCAACTGATCCCTAGCTTTTCCCCCACTGAAACACTTGCCCTTGCCGCCCAGAAATCCTTTCCACCCAAATCAAACCATAAATCCAAAAAGGACCGCCCCTATTACACTCATTGCAAAATAACTGGCCACTCTATGGAAAACTATTTCAAGCTTGGTAATGCCATTGCCCCTCTGTGCTCTCATTGTCACCTCACTGGTCACTCTGTTGAAAAGTGCTACAAATTGATGGGCTATCCTCCCTGGCACAAATTCCATACCAAGCAGAATTCCCTTTCTGTCCCACTTGCAAATCAAGCTTCACTATCTGTCGATCATGAATTGGAAGTCTCCAGTGATGACCGGATGGGTTTGACCAAGCTTCAATATCAGCAACTGATGTCTCTACTTCGACCTCAGGATCCTCCAACAGCGGCTTCTGTTCTTCATTCGAACATCACTTCCAAACCTCCCAATTTTGCTCTCTCGGCATCTAAAATGTCTGGTATGGCATCATGCTTTTCCACACACACACACGCCACTCTCCAAAATTGTTCTTCACGTTAGATCTTGGACACAGGTGCTACAAACAAATGGTGGTAAAAAAAGTAGTACTACAAACCATATGGTTTGTAGTACTACTTTTTTTACCACCATTTGTTCCATTGTTGCTTATTCTGTGAAGCTCCCAAATGGGACTCTTGTTTCTGTTACCCATATTAGCCATATTCAGTTGACCGATACCATTCTTTTAAGGGATGTTCTCTATGTTCCTTCTTTCTCTTTCAATTTAATTTCAGCAACCAAGTTAACACAATCTCTGACTTGTTGTTTGTTATTTTTCTCTAATTCTTGTTTCATACAGGACCTGCTTTCTTAGAAAACGATTGGGAAGGGTGAGCTTCAACATGGTTTATATCACCTCATCTGCTCCTCGGTCTCACCTTTAGCTCTTGTTCAGTCACTTTCTGATTACACACACCATACTTCCCCTGTTTTACATACTTACCCCCCTAGTGCTCATACTGTTACTCCATTTGACCTATGGCATTGTCGCCTCGGTCATTTATCTTTTCCTAGACTAAGGATGATTTCTGATCCCATTGTAAGCACACAAATTAATTCAATGAATGAAATTCCTTGCAATGTTTGTCCACTTGCCAAATTTCATAAATTACCTTTTCCTGAAAGCATGCATCAATCATCCAGCATATTTAAACTTATTCACTGTGATTTGTGGGGTCCTAGTCCCACCATTGCCTATGATGGTTCAAGATTTTTTTTAACCATTGTAGATGATTTTTCTCGATCCACTTGGTTGTATTTACTCGCTACCAAAGCTCAAACCCGACCTTGTATTGAAGCTTTCTACAATTTAGTAGAAACTCAATTTGGACTGAAAATTAAAACATTAAGAAGTGATAATGGTGCTGAGTTCTCTATGACAGATTTCTTTAATAACAAAGGCATATTCCACCATAAATCTTGTGTGCAAACCCTTTAACAAAATGGCATTGTTGAGAGGAAGCACCAACTTTTGCTTAATGTGGCTAGAGCGCTTCGGTTTAAATCAAATGTGCCTATTCAATACTGGAATGACTGCATTTTAACAGCCACTTATATCATCAATAGACTTCCTTCTCCTTTTTTAAACAACAAAACCCCTTTTGAACTCCTTTTCAACAAAAAACCTTCATATGCTCACTTGAGAACTTTTGGTTCTTTATGTTTTGCTGCTACCCTTTCACATGCTAGAAAGAAATTTGATCCTAGAGGTCGTCGTTGTGTCTTTCTAGGCTATCCTTTTGGTATCAAAGGTTACAAGCTTTTAGACCTTTCCACTCACACTACATTCATTTCACGTGATGTTATTTTTCATGAAAACATTTTCCCCTTTCATCAATCTGCAGATCATTCCCTTGCACATTCAGACTTACCCGTTTTCTACCCCTCTTTATACCCTATACAGCACCATCCTACAACATTTCCCAATCCTGATCATAACTCAGAATTTTTTCACTCTCTTCCAACACCACATTCTCATAATCCGAACCCTTCTACTCCTCCCATTACACCTCCAACCCTTCCTCCCACTTCCTCTCCACCTCCACCCCCACCACCACCAAACCATTCCATACTCCTTCCTCGACGGTCCATCAGAACTAGAACCGCCCCCCAATACCTCAAAATTTTCACTGTCATCAAACCATGCTTGCTGCCCCTGCACCTTGTTTTTCCAAGGAAGCATCTCCTCTCAATGGTAAGTCTTTCCCTCTCAATAAATGTCTTTCTTATCATAAATTCAGTCCCTCTTTTCAAGCTTTTACTTCTTCCATTTCTGTCCATACCGAGCCCACTTCTTACAGACAAGCATTGAAGGATCTGGGTTGGTGCAAGGCGATGGAAGCTGAGCTTGAGGCACTGGAACACAACCAGACCTGGACACTTACTGCCTTACCTCATGGGAATGAAGCTATTGATTGTAAGTATGTTTACAAAATTAAATTTAAGTCTGATGGTACTGTAGACAGACTTAAGGCTCGATTAGTTGCCAAGAGATTCACCCAACAAGAGGGTATTGATTTTCATGAGACCTTTTCCCCTGTAGCTAAACTTGTTACTGTGAGGGGCCTTCTTACTGTTGCTGCCATTAAGGGTTGGCAGTTGCATCATTTTGATGTCAACAATGCCTTCCTTAATGGTGACTTACAAAAGGAAATTTATATGAAGAAACCACCCGGCTACACTAAAGGCCCACCCTACCATGTCTGTAAATTGCTTAAAAGTCTTTATGGCCTCAAGCAAGCTTCAAGACAATGGAATTTTAAACTTACCTCTTCTCTTCTTGAGTTTGGTTTCATTCAATCCAAAGCTGATTATAGCTTATTCACCAAACAAGACAGCTGTTCATTCACTGTTTTGCTAGTTTATGTGGATGACCTTTTACTTGCTAGCAATTCTCAAGCTTCTATAGATTTCATACAGATTTTTCTCAATCATCAGTTTAAAATTAAGGACCTTGGCTGTCTTCGGTATTTTCTTGGTTTGGAAATTGTTAGATCCTCCAAAGGGATCCATGTTTCTCAAAGGAAATATGCCTTAGACATATTGGCAGATTCTGGCATGCTTGGTTGTAAGCCCCTCAAACTCCCCCTTGATCAGAATTTCAAGTTAAGCAAGGATGAAGGAGAACCTCTCCTTGACCCATCTACTTATAGACGTCTCATTGGTAGACTTTTATACCTCACTATCTCCAGACTAGACTTATCTTTTACTGTCAATTACTAAGTCAGTTCATGGACAGCCCCTCATCTACCCACTTGGCAGTTGTTTACAAAGTTTTGAGGTATATTAAATCTGCTTTGGGACAAGGGATTCTCTTATCTTCCTCTTCCATTTTTCAGATTAGAGCCTTTTGTGACTCTGATTAGGCTTCTTGCCCAGACACTCGTCGGTCAACAACCGGCTATTGCATCTTTTTTGGACATTCTTTGGTCTCATGGAAATCCAAGAAACAAAGTGTGGTTTCTCGTTCTTCAGCTGAAGCGGAATATAGGGCTATGGCCATCACTTGCACTGAAATTATTTGGCTTAAGTATTTGCTTTGGGATCTCGAGATTGCACACCCACAAGCTGCCCTCCTCTATTGTGACAATCAAGCCGCTCTTCACATTGCCGCCAACCTGGTCTTTCATGAAAGGACCAAGCATATCGAGCTCGATTGCCACCTAATCCGAGACAACATACAAGCTGGAATTGTATCTACTACTCATGTATCTTCCAACAACCAGTTGGCTGACATCTTTACTAAAGCTCTACCTTCTCATGTACTTGCAACACACCTCTCCAAGATGGGCATAGTTAACCTCTCTTCTCCATCTTGCGGGGGGGTGTTAGAGGACACTGGACAAATATAAAATGACATGTAGTATAGTTGTAGTTTAATTTGTATATAAGCTGCTACTTTATTTTCTTTTCCTTTATATTTCTTTACTTTATAGATGGCATTCATTTATTTGTATATACGGTTAGTTTGTTACATTTGTTAGCTGTATATAGCATAGCCTTGGGCTACTGTACTCATTTATTCAGAAAGGGGAATAACAGTACTTCATCTTTTCCATCGCTCTTGGCCTCTCTACTCTGTTTTCATTCTTCTTGCTGCATTTTCCTTTTGTTACAAACATTGATGCTACATATTATTTGCCTATAAACTAACTACACATTCATATAGATGGTTTATTACTACATCTAAAACATAGTTTTTCAGTTCATAGGAGGCTAAAGTAACTGGAAATTCTGCGAATTCGAGTTTAGCATGATTTCCTCATCATCAGATACAGATCTTGATCTATTAATGAGTTAGTTTTTGCTTCAGAAAACACTTCTCTTAAGAATAGTACGATCTGGTTCTGGAATTTTATGCAAAGCAACACTTTCTCATGAAAATATGGTCATTTTTGTATGATAAAATCAAGGTCAAGAGTGAAGGTCTTGCGTTTCGTGGCATTTTGGAAATAATCTTATCTCCTCTGCATAACTGTTTGATCTTCATTGCCAGCACTATATACAACAAATTATGATCTTCTTCTGAGCTTTTAAGTATTTTGTGACATGTGTAATATCATTAATCATGTGTTAATACTATCAATATGGTATTCAGGTGAAGATCATATGTCAAAGATATCCTTGGTGTATGATGATCATATTTTCTGGTAAAATATAGGTGTCCAACGTCTTCCTCTTCATTTTGAGAATCCACTCTACGTGTATCAAAAGTTTTTAAGCAACTACGTTAGGGAAAGAGTCATCACAAGAAAAGAGTGAATTATAATACAGTAAAACCTCTCTATAGTCATAATGGTAGGACTAACTAATTTTATTACTATAAGGAAATTATAACTTAATGGAGATATAGTTATAAAAACTATAGACCGTGTCTTGGAACCAACAAAGATAAGTGTCATTGATGGAACTATAAATGCAGTTGATGCATGGTCAATTGATGTGAAGTCAAAGACAATTGCCAATGGTTTTAAGCATTGCAAAATTAGGACCCCCGATTTCGATGAATTGCAAGTTACAAATGAAGTGGACGAGGAAAATAAAAGTCATTGCGAAATTGAGTGATCAAATTCGACAATTTCACTACACTAATTGAATGGATATTGATGTCTTTCTCGATCATCCAAATGAGCAATAAATCGTGTATGCTTTAACCAAAAAGGAAATCATTGCTATAATTAGACAAGAAGATAAATGAAATAATCCTAAGGATGATAGTATGAAAATACAAAAAGTTTCATGTCATGAAGCTCTAAACATGCTTGAGAAGATAAAAATATTTTGGCTTCAACAATAAGGTGTCCATGCTAGCAAGTTATTACATACTAACAAGGTAAAATATGTGGTAACAACTCTAAAATATAAATCATTGTCCCAAACAACTTTCGATAAATATTTTATTTCATCTTAAACCTTTAATGTAATATAACATATTTTTTTTTGGTAATATATAGATAATTATTACTATGTGGAGACAACTTTCCTTAAGACGAGAATTAGAAAAATTATAACTTATTACAATGTGGAGTTTATTCTTATTTATAACTATCACAAATTGGGATTAAAATTTTTTATGACTATGTAAAATTTATTCCTATATAGAATATTATTATAGAGAGATTTTACTGTATAAAAACGATAGTAAGATATATGAGAATCCTATTATCTTTGTATTTCATCAATAATATTATAATGAACCATAAAAAATGGAATGAATATTAGAATATTGGGGAATTGTTATATGGCGTAGAAAAAAATATTTCAGCGAATGCGTGCATATGAACTCATTTAATCAAAACTTTGGTGTAAATTACACGCATTAATCCTTCAAATCT